AGAATGCAGGATGCAGAATGTAGAATGCAGACTATAGAATGCAAAATACAGAATATAGAATGCAGAATATACAATGTGGAAGGTGCTTGCAAGGCCCTGTTTCCAATCAGAATGCAGACTATAGAATGCAAAATATAGAATATAGAATGTAGAATGCAGAATATAGAATGCGGAAAGTGCTCACAACGCCCTGTTTCCAATCAGAATGCAGGATGCAGAATATAGAATGCAGACTATAGAATGCAAAATACAGAATGCAGAATGCAGAATATACAATGTGGAAAGTGCTCACAAGGCCCTGTTTCCAATCAAAATGCGGAATGAGGAATGCAAAATGCAGACTATAGAATGCAAAATACAGAATACAGAATATAGAATGCAGAATATACAATGTGGAAAGTGCCTGCAAGGCCCTGTTCCCCAATCAGAATGCAGGATGCAGAATATAGAATGCAAAGTATAGAATACAGAATGTGGAATTCAGAATGTGGAATCTAGTCTATTTTTTTATTTTATTTTTAATTGCTACTTCCCAGACTTCCCAAAAAATTGGGATCAAAAGCCAAGCAGGATGCTATTGCGTTGGTTTTCCTCAACACCAGCCACTTTAAAAATGGCCTCCCAAGGTCCCAGTCTAGCTTGCAACCTTTAGATTTTTACAGGTTTAAGGCAACACCTGGAATAACCGCCTCCAGTTTTGGTCGCCACGCTACAAAAAAGGATGTTGAGACTTTGGCAAAAGTGCAAAGAAGAGCAACTTAAGATGATCAAAGTCCTGCCGACTAAAAACACAGAAAGAACGGTTGCAGGATTTGAGTTTGGCCAGGCTAGAGAATAGAAGGACTTAGAGGGGGACATGACAGCATCTTCCAATACTTGAAGGGCTGCCCCAAAGAAGAGGGGCGTCAAGCTATTTTCCAAAAGCAACGGGTGGAAACTAATCCAGGAGAGAAGCAACCTGGAATTAAGGAGAAATTTAGTGCCAATGAGAACAATTAACCAGTGGAACAGCTTGCCACCAGAAATGGTGAATGTTCCAACATTGGAATTGTTAAAGAAGAGATTGGATAACCCTTTGCCTGAAATGGTGTAGAGCTTGATTAGGGGGTTGGACTGGATGACCTCTGAGGTCCCTTCCAGCTCCATTCCGATTGATTTCTCTGCTTAGGTTTGTCAAAACCAGGCAAGATCTTCTCAGGTGCTAAAAATGGCAAAACATGGCTGAATGCAACAGGTGGAGCAGGTAGTCCTTTCTAAGCTTTCTTCCACCCTCATGAGGACTGGAATCTTCATTTCTATTTAAAGGTACAGATCACCGCACTCGGGTAGTCAATCCTTCTAGGATCGAGCCCCCCAGCCTTACCAGGTGATTTCTGCTCATGACAAACCAGTCCTTATTTTTAAACCAGGGATCTCCAAACTTGGCAACTTTTAAGATTTGTGGACGGGAGTTGAAGTCCACAAGTCTTCAAGTTGCCAACTTTGGAGGTCCCTGGTTTAAACTTTTGCCTGATGTTGGCATTTGCACCTGGGCCTCGGGAATAGCAGTTGCTCTGTGTCTGTCCTCTTTTGAATCCAGACCCCTCCTTGGAGGAATTTAAAGTCAGGGCCCGGCCAAGCCCTTGGCTTGATCTGAGTTTCTCTTTGAGAGAATTCAGCCAGCAAGTTATTTTAAAAGTTTTTTTAAAAAAACTTTTGAATTTGAATTTGTACTGTAACAAAAGAGGTTGAGACTCCGGAAAGAGTGCAGAGAAGAGCAACCAAGAGGATTAAGGGGGCTGGAGGCTCAAACATATAAAAAGAGCAGTTGCAAGAACTGGGTATGTCTAGCTTAATGAAAAGAAGGATTAAGGGAGACAGGATAGCAGTCTTCCAATATCTCAGGGGCTGCCCCAAAGAAGAGGCAGTCAAGCTACTCTCCAAAGCATCTGAGGGCAGGAGAAGAAACAATGAGTAGAAATTAATCATGGAGAGAAGCAACTTAGAACTAAGGAGAAATTTACTAACA